TTTCTTTCTGTGAAACATTTCTTTTATTATTTAATTTATTAAAAGTTTCATATAGTAACTTTTTTAGATCAGAAATTATACTTTTTTTGATGTATAAGTTTTTGAATTTATTAGTAGTTTTTATACTATGCGTGAGAAAAAACTTGTATCAAAATTTCAATCACTCCAAGCAAATGTAGTGTTAACAAACTCGACAAGAGTAAATTTATTTAAGGATATTTACTTAAATTATGTTTTTCTTAGAATAATTAACATACAAACGATTACGTATGTTTACGTATTATAATATTATGATTACATAATGTTTACTAAATGATTTCCATTGAATTTAAATTAATAAGTAGAGTTTGGAATGCATTTGCTTTTTTTTTTTCGGAAGGTCTTAAACGATGCTTTTCAAGCTACAAACATATATAATATAATATGTTTCATGTACTTCATGTTGTAATTAAAAAAAACATTTTGGTGCAACTTTTGCGTTTCATTTTCATGTTAATAATAACACTGAACACTGAAATGTTGTTTCCCAAAAATTTGAATATTTATTACAAATTTAAAAGTATGTTCAATTTTAATCATTGAAAATTGAAAAATTTTCATTAATGGATTTTTCTTTTTACTATACAAGTTTCGATACAAGTAAAATTTTGTAATAAATACAATCATCTATAAAACTTTACTAAAACTAGATGTACAATTTTTTGGCATAATGAATAATTTTGTTATTTAGTCAAGTTATCATAATTCTTTTAATATAATATGAGATTATTTTTATGATATTGAATATGTGAATTATTTAGATTGTAATAATCTTGAATAAAAATTTTAAATTTAAATTATGTTTATATAGTGTAAATCTTATTACTTGTATTTTTTTAATGGAACGTAATATGTATTCAAACATTTAAATAGAAATTAAATTAAATTGTGTTTCAAATTCCTGGACAATTATGACAGTAATATTTTTAATAATTAATTGAAATATGATAACTTCATATATTCGTATTATTATATAAATGCGAAAAAATTTATTTTCGAATGCAATTATCTAATTCCATTTTGATTTAAAACGACTTTACCCCTAATAACAAACCCACCTCCTGTATATAAATTGAAAACTGTATTTGGGTAATTTTTTTTTTCTAATCGGAATACTTTTATTCATTAATTTTTTACATATTTTCTCATTAATTTATTAATTAACTATTTTTATCATCACGTTAAATATGATACGTAGAAAATACATGTTCCGCATAATTTATACAGTTCTATCTAACATTTTCATGCTAAAATAAATCAGGCTGCTTTCAAGTTTAAATATTAGAAAATTACTCAGGTGATCAGTCGTTATTCATTTTATTCGTTCATCTCAAAGAGAATAATATTTCAGTTGCATTATTGGATTAACTTTGTATTAAGTATCGAAAGAGCTGACGAAAGAATTACCGGTCTGTAATCTCAAGTCTTAGGTTTTTAATTAAAATGTATCTATCTATATATACGAATAAATATATACTTAAATATATTTCAATTCCTCTTATAATCGTTCTAAATGAAAAACTTACAATTTTAATCGTCCTGAAATTTATGAGAACTGGTGATCTTTTTTTAATAGTTCTTAATACTTTTAATGACGTATAACCGTAATAAAAAAAAAAAAAAAGATAAATCTGCCTACTATTGTTAAGAATGACAATTTCGCGAGTAATATTATTACAGTTTATGATGACCATATTTTATTTTACATCATAATAATAATAAGAACGACTCAAACAATTGTTTCTATTTTCCTCTACTTGCAATTAGTGCTACTTTAATGGTATAAGCACATAATTCCGTCATGATATTATGTTCCAACAAAAAAATTCGTTCTTCTTCGCGTTAGGTTAGGTACGACCAGGTATTGTTCACGGTATGAAATATAAATAATTTTTAAACAGACACAAAAAATAATACATGTCTGGAAAAATATCTGAAGAATAGAGCGATTTGTAAAGGATTTGTATTTTAATTTGCTGATACATCATTGAGAATGGAAGATCGAGACTGACATCGTAAGACTCAACAATTATTGATGTTAGATACTAGATTAACTAATAAATATATTTACATATATAATGTCTAGTGCTATAATATAGCGTTAGGGAAATTTCGAACTAACGACTAAATACAGTGTTTGGAAATCTGTCCCGATAAACTATGAAAATTCGTTGCGTATTAAAACGATATGCTCCACAAAATTAAATATTATACATATTACTGTCTCCTATGTTGTTCGATTAAATCCCATACTAGAATTTCGGCATTACCAAACCACTATCTCTCAATCTTATCATGAATCGAAACAAATACGAAACGTACTAAATTATATGTGAATTATACAAAGATATAATGTGCGGTTAAATGGTTCAACTTCTTGGATCTGTTATTGAGCATTTAATGAATATTTCGCCGTTCATTCCTAACGCAAACGCTTGTGCTTATTTTCTTACGAGTATTTATTGTTATCAATGTTTCTATCATACACTAAATAGTGTACGATACAATAAATACGTTCAACTGAAAACGTTTTATAAATATTAAAGTATATTGTATGCTTTTACTTGACAGTAAATGACCAATAAGAATATTAGAACAGCGAGTACGGGTATTTCTCGAAATCCAAAGTCACGTCCATTTGTTAAAAAAAAAAAATAAATCCGGAAAATCGAAATAAATACTTATATAAATATAATACAAATACATATAACATGATAAAATAGAAATATAATATTTATTGCGCCTAAACATAATATTTCAGCGATATGATTATATTTTATGTTACTTTTCACATAATTTTTTACGGTTAGCTTGGGTTTGAGGTAGGTGTTTTTATTATTCATCCCATTTCTCTGATAACTCACTATAATTATTAGAATAATACAATTATGTTTCTAAAACATTTATTGAATATTTTATCGTGCTACTAATTTGAAGATTAAAAACTGTACATTTTATTTTAAACTACGATTTAAGTGTTCTTTTTCATTATCAGTTTTCAAATTTTTTTTTCTTATATACTACGCACAAAAACAGAAAAATTTAAGTAAAAATCGTAACACCAGCAGTTTAAACAAGGTGCATTAATAGAAAAGATATTTTAAGATCATCTTAAAGAATTTTGTAATATTTTTGACGTAACTAACCTATGTTATATTCTTAATTAAAGGAAAAAGCATCTTAAAGGATTATCATTGAACGTTTAAAAACTAAAACGAAAAACGAAGTCAAAAAAATAATAAGGTATAATAATGTAATACGAGCTTACTATGGTGTCATGGACACATGTTTTTTCTGAGACATTATCGGAAAACTTAACGTACCATAAAGTCCGCAGCCTTATCATAGTCAGAAGCCTCAAATGTTTAATCATCCAACCTTAGTGATATTATGTCACCATGTAACGTGCGCACGCTGCTAATAAATTTGTTAAAGAGGTTCATCGACATGCATCGAGTAAATCGGTCGGACGGATACCGAGTATTTTGAAAGGCATCAGGAAAAACAAACCCAACGACCGCCTTCACTACGAATATCTACCATCGACGTTAACGAAGTTACAGTGAAGTATAACTCCCTGTTGTATGTTCCCGTCCCTATGTAACCCGGGTACGGGCTAATTCGATTTCTTCCTCGCATGAGACTAAACAAGTACATTTCATGCTCGTCATTATATTTGACGACGTGGTAATGTGCTACGGACTTTGCAACATCGAAGCCAACGTACCGCGGTGTGCACATCGTGGATTTTGAACGAAAATTTACCGGAATAGAGTAGAGAATAGAATCGTAGAGACGAACTTAATGGAAACGGTTTTCACGTTTCTAACTGTACGTTCGTAAAATTAATATTCCAGGAGTTATTCGCTATCGTCGAATATATGTTATATTCGAACAGGGTTCTGTGTGGAATCGAACACATGTAAACATTTTCTCGTCGCAATTAAGAGGACGCCACACCCGCATGTGTTATCTTCGTCTGACATACGTACAGCATAGCACATTTGCGTTCAGTGATTCAAATGCAGTGATGTTAGCTTTAATATTAGAGTAAACTGACCTGTAATCAAATTTTAAGGGAAGAACATTATCTGTGTTTTGTGTGTTGGTTTTTCCGGTATTTAAATTTTTTACCGAGTTATGATGTTTTTTTAATTGATATATTTTACATACTCATAACACGCTTAAAAATTAAAATATCGGAAAAAACCGACCAACAAAACACAGATAATGTTCTTCTCTTAAAATTTGATTATAGACCAGTTTATTCTAATATTAAATCTAACATCAGTACATTTGAATCACTGAACGCGAATTTACTATGTTGTACGTATGTCAGACGGGCGCATGTAAACTCCGCCACAAGTATCTTTTTTTACTGTAAACTCCGCTAGAAAAATAAAACAGGTAAAATTGGGTTCACGTAAACTCCGCCACTAAAAATATATAATGTTTACTATAATGTGTGCACTGAAAAGGTAAACAAAAAAAACTGGTCGAGTTTACACTAGACCTTTTATTACCTTTTTATCTTAACCGATATTCCGGCAGAGTTTACAATCGCCCCGTCAGACAGAGACAACACATGCGGGTGTGACATCCTCTTAAGAACACATTTTTCCCGTGCACTGTACATGATCGTTGCACCGGCAACGTTCCAGGGATGAAATATCCACGGCGTAGGAGTAACTCGACGTGTTGAATCCGGGTTCAGGGTGGAGATGGGCGTTTTATATCTAAAACCGACGCGCATCTCCAATCAGCATATTAAGACCTACACGTCGCGATTACATTTTTACCGATACACAATGTTACATGAGACCCGATGACATCTGTACCCTAACTGTAATCTCGGAACAGATCATGCACATTCGTTTACGTAGGCGCGTACCGTATGGGTAAGTTCCTGCACTTGCACGGTCGCAAAACATGTAAATATAACAAGTATCAACAGCACTTACTCTTCGCAACCACTGGACGCACGTCATGTTGATGACGGTACGCGGTACAAGACGACGACGACGACGACGACGACGGTGAACAACAAGCGGTTGCCGGCGACCAACTGCGTTTGCAAGCACGACGTGACTTTGAGGCAACGCTACTTGTTCGCTGTGCACACGAACGCGCGCTTATGCGTGTGCGTACGTAAAAGAAAATACGAACAGAACACACATATGCACAGTACTGCGACCGCGAGTGGGCAACAACGTCGTAACGGTTCAGGTGGTACGGTGGCCTCGACGTTTCTTCGTCTTCGCCGTCTCCTCGGACCGCGGTCGCGCGCGCACGATAAATAATATTCTGCACTACCGGATGATAATTACCGGTTTGCGGGTTTTCCGTTCTTTGTAATACTCGTGTTGTATGTTTTATACGCACGTAATATTACATTGAAACGTAATATACATATAACCGACGACGACGAAGACGACGACGACGACGACGACGACGGTGGCGGCAACGGCCGAAAAGCGAACGTTATTAGTGGAACAAAATTACACGTTTAAACCAAATATAATACGTTGTATATAACATAACAGCGTACTCCGGCCGGATGTGTACGTGTGTACGTGTGTGTGTGTGTGACCTCACAGTGAACTGCGATCATTTGTTTCGTACAGGTCATTCTTAGTGGTAGGTACACGGCACAAAATATTGCACACGATAGTAAAACCAAGTACCTATTGCACCGGTTACGAATGGTAAGAAGACTCGGCAGCGCTCCTGGCGAACTTGGAAAAAGTTACCTTTCAACCAATTAAAATGTGATGTCATGATATCTCTTTTAACCTTTAGTTTTACTAATATTTTTTTGGTATACAATTTATACTTTTATAAGTTATTATTACGGTGTTGATTTTAAACTTTGAAAATTTGATTTTCTCGCTTTATGACTAGCAAATTCATCGATAATTTCTTCATGTGAAATTTTTTATTTAAATGCCTTATTTTCATCATTTAATTATTAAATTCGCATGTAGTATGTATAAATAAACAACATCTACGTATTTCAAAAAGTATAATGGAAAAATGTCGATTTAATTGTAGGATAAAAATACGACTTTTACACAATTTTGCGCCCCTAGTGTAGGCACAGTTCGTCATACCCTTACTACGCCACTGCAAATATATATGATTCGACCGATCGACTGTCGAAATCAAAATCAAGTAAGGGACTCGCCGTACGTGTGTGCAAGAGTAAGTGTTCCAACGGGTTGTTTGATTCAACTGTTTCTTAATATTCGTATGCCACGTGAACTCGAATCGTATCGATGTTTTTTAATGCTATTCCAATAGATTGAAACATATTTGATGTAGTACAGGTAAATACAGGACCGTATTTAGGAATTTGACACCAGGGGGCAACAATAAAAAACGCTTCATTACAGCAAAAACAAATTTCTTTCCTTGAAAATTATCTTTCTGAAGAACAATTCGTTGCTGGTGTACACAAAAATATTCTAAGTGCAATGTCAACATAAGGATAGATTGTTTTTAAATCTTTGGATCTATCAACAATACTCGGCCGTTATCGATTGTGTGTGTGTGCGCGCGCGCGCGAATGTGTGTGTGGTGTGTGTGTGTTTATGTGTGTGTGTATGTGTGTGTATCGTGACGTCATGATTAGAGATATATTTTTTTTTTTGAGTTATAATTTTTATTTTGTAAAGAAGTTTCACTTCAAAAATATTAGATCATTAAATATTGTAAATATAAAAAATTAGCCGTCCTCTCATATTCAGCCACCCGGGACAACAGCACCTTGTAGATCCCCCCTAAATACAGCCTTGAGTAAATATGCGGGAGAAGTATAAGACAAGTCAACGATTTTTATTATACCACTCCACCCTTCGGCCCACAACAATTAACATTGATTTCATAATAATTTCACATCGAATCATATATTAATCCTCTCATTATATAATTTTGAGTTTTAGGAAAAGTATTTATTTATATATATATATATTTCATATTATTGAACTTTTATACATGTATTGATTATTTAATATTTTTTTTTTTTTTATCAACTTTCAAAAAATGTACACCTTTGTATATTTGAATGATAACACTGAAATACAATATACTAAAAAGCTCGAAATAATAAAATTTAGAGCAATATTTATTATTCTTTATAAATATATCAAATTAAAATAAACATGTTTATTGAAACTTAACAGTATCGATTTTAAAAACAATGATTTATGTATTAATATTGTACGCCGAATGTAACATTGTGGACGCAGATATATGTGCCAAATATGTTTAACGATTTTTACATGGTACCAGGTAGTTTATCTTGTTTTAATAGCTGTATTCTGGTCATAGATGGTTGATCACAACAAGCTATATAATATAAGCAAATTTTATAATTTTTACTGTATTTCATGGATTCTATCATGCTTCCTGTTTGAATATCATTACAGTATTATATTATCTATGTTGAAATATTACATTTTTTTAATTTATTTTAATTGAAAAAAAAATCTTAAGTATGTATGCTATATTATTTATTTTTATCTGTAAATAAATTTCTATTTTATTTAGGCTTAGAAGATTTTTGTTAAAAAATTACCCCTATTCGTCAATGTTATAAAGCAAAGGTAGCTGAACATACCACATCTAAATCGATCCTCAGCAATTGTTTGAAATCCGTATTCTTACAAGTATACATTTGTTATTACAAATTATTTTTCTAGTAATTTTCATCTTATAATTGACACTCTTATAGTATTGCCTTTTTTTGTAAGTTGATGATATTTATCATACATAAAGTATTTATCTTTATCTAAAAAATATCATTTTTTAATAATTCAAAAATTTAATAATTAAATAAGATTTGTGGTAATAATTCGAGAAACTTAAACTTTATAAGACTTATAAGTACTGTACCACATTTTCATCTACTCTAAATATTATTACATTAAGTTCTAGATAAGCTTCATCGAACATAATCAAATCATCTAGAAAATGTATAATTTTAGTTCAAAAAGTTGCAACACAGAAAATTATAATTTTAACATTATGATGAGTGGCCATATAGAGGCCATAATCTTAAATTATATTACCCGTGACGGCGATCTATCTTTTTAATGTATAGCGTAATGCTATTAGCGTTGTAAGCCATTTCAATGTTACACGATTCTCATTTTTCATTTAAACATGTTAATCGGTAAACAAACAACACGCTCTTTGAAATTATAACTTGGAGGCCATAACTTATCTTTAGTAATTTTACCTATATTTTATCTCGAAATAATTTACTAATACTAGATTCAATGTTTATTAACTTAATTTAGCTCATTAATTCAATCGATGTATTAATCGATATTAATAGATTAATAATAAAACGATCTAAAATAGAAAATTCACTAACAAAAAAAAAAATGATCGTACAAATGTAGTAAAGTCATTTTTTCTGTTAAAATATTTTGAAATGATCAGGATCAATATCGCATTATTACGCATTACAACAGGCATATCAAATAAGCATGAGGCCCACGACTAATATTTTTGTGGCCCGTGGCTACCAATACCAACAGACAAAAAAAAAAAAAATACTAATATTAAAAAAATTATAAAATATTAATGTCATGTCGCATCTATCTTAGATTCTTAGAGAATGTTATATTTGGTATACCTTATTATGTCTGATAAATTGTAATGGAGTAAATTTTATTGACGATTTTATATGTATATAAATAGAAATATATATATTTTTTTTTTTGAAAAATCATTATGCGCGGCTCGCGTTGAAAATTATTCAATATATTTGGCATACTAGATACTTAAATTTTGGCATGCCTGCATTACAAAATGTCACCTAGGGTACGGCAAAATGTATGATAATTTTTACTTATAAAACCTTGCCTTTTCTATCTTATGAAACTCGTATTATACACATGTATTATTGCACATGCATAAAATAAAAATACAAAGAATCAATACACTAATATATCTTAACTGAATACTTACAGAAATCATATTTTTAAAATAGTTGATATTTCACTATTTCACTATATATTTCACCGCCGATAAAGTACCAGTGATTTGTTCACAAAAATTAAATAAAAGTTTATTATTACGAGGTTATAACTCAATGGTAAAAAAAAATCAATAATTTATATATTAAGCGATATTATCCTGTCGGGCTTGCATTTTAACATAATATTATTGAAAATAACAGTACTACTTGTTTATGGTTTCTTGATAAGAATTAAAAATTCTTCCGATTTTAAACGTGTGTGGATTGGAAAGTGTTTAATAGAACAAGTGTAAATCTTTTAAAGCGTAAGACTATCATCGCTGTTCAACTGTAATAAAAATCGTAAGACGACTCGGTTCTACGGACACATTTGAATCACCCACTCGGACACCAGAAAAATAAAAATATTCCGCATGTGAACGCTGCATTGCGTGGATCTTGCATACATAGTAATGGTTCGTTATCGATAAAGCAGATGAAATACTTCAAACGGGACGGAGATCCTCGACAAATCCCTCAGGTACTTACACGGAATCTGAGTATGCGTGTATATACTGTACGTTTGTATACATTTTTTTCGGGTAACTAATCGGATCTTACGTTTACACAAAGGTTTCTAAACGAACACAATAATACCCACATGTGAACGTAAATATCGTTACGAATATTTTATTCAATTTCTCATTTTGCGTATAAAGGGCATTCGGTTAGCTGAATATAGAGTAGAGTGCATCCGTGTATACGACGGAAAGACTTAACTTTTTATGCCGGTTTTTGAGTATAACATAATGACGTCTGCCATACGCTATATGTAATCACATTAATAAATCTTGTGCTGATTAAAATACTTCGGTGGCATGTCTAGTGCAGAGCTAATGTTGATTGTTTTCTTTTTCTATTCAATATGATTTTTTTTTATTTCCCGGAACCGCCAAATAAGTGATTGAAATACCGATTTCACTGTAATCCCGTTTGATTTTAATATTCGTACAATTAAATACAAAAATAATATGTGATAATAAAATTATTCGATATTACGAGAACATTAAATTATTAAATTATTATAGTTACAGAATAATAAATTTAAAACTAAAATAATAAAAAAAATATATGAGAGCCCAGCTTGATTATATAAAAGTTCATTTTTAATTAGCCCCATATTAATTATCTGAATAACAAAATAAAAAAAATACAAATTGTCTTTTTTAAATATTTAAATTATTGTAACTTGTCATTTTGTTATTCGTCATAATGATACGCCACTCTGCAGTAGTAATTTACCTCTTCTAATTTCAAACTTATGTATTGTGTATTCATAATGAGTGATGTCTAAAATGTTAATGTATTTGTTTTGAAGGTATGGACACATACTTATTTATACTCGGTTGTAATATGTCTGCTGACGATTAATACAAATTGTACATAAACATATAAATATCAAACATAGTCCTGGCTAAAAGAAATTATTTAATCCTACTTGGATACTTGGATTCTTAACTATTATAACGTTATATGAAATTTGTCTAAGACAATAGTAAATAAGTACATTCGTTTGCTCTAAATCGAAATACAGTTTGCTATACTTTAGTTATCATTTCGTACGAATCGATAAATATGCTGAAAAACGTAGCTTCAACGGTTTTGAGCGGTGTAATGCGATTCGTTTCGACCAGACCGATTTGTTCTTTTCCGAGGGTCGGCATTAACGGATTCGGCCGCATAGGTAAATGTATCATGAGGCAGTGTTTCGAAAACAACGTGAACGTAATTATATCACATCTTATATTATTCTTATTATTATATTATTGTATCGAACGTAGTACAATTATTGATTTATTATTTGCTCGGAGCATTGAAATTCATTCGGAGTGATGAGATGTAGTCGTATATCCGAGATAAACCTTTTGCAGATCGTCGCAGTGAACCAGCCGTTCGTCGACGTGAATTCAATCGCATACACGTTTAAGTACGACACGGTACACAGAGAGTTCAAAGGAAAAATCGAGGTGTGCAACAAACAGCTGCAGATCAATGGTAAACGAATTAAATAACGTACAACAGTGGCTATCCGTGCTTGTAGCATTTTCCCGCGTTTTAACTATACAATTGCCACCCGCTAATTTATCTCTTGTTGTGTACAGGCCACGGTGTGAAAGTGTCCCACGAAGGGGACGCGGAAAAAATCAAATGGAACGACTTGTGCGTCGATTACGTGATTGACGCAACCGGCAAGTACACCGAAGTGGACAATGCGATGGTAAAATATGTTAATCATAACTAAACATTTTGCGTCTTGTTCGATTCTAAACGACTCGTCGATCGTACGTTGCCGGGGTTAGGGAACAGCACGATGATCAATGTGACGGTTCGCCACACGAACTAAAACAACAACTTGAACGAAAACGCTCAACGGTCGAAATTGCTGTGAATCAAACGCACACGTAGTCGATTGAACGCATAGAACCAAGTGCAATGATGTGCATTTGTAATCAGTAATGGGTGAATTTTAGTGTGCCGAAAAACGACTCGCATACTCTGCCGACAAAAGAGAAATAGTGTTACACCACGGACGTGTTTGGTCTCGATTGGGTCCAACCGTAATGGGGTCCGGGAGGGGTAACGATAGTTTTCAAAACTGAAACCGATAGTTAACCTATTACAGACTTCGAACATACACATAGATGTACATGTATAAGTTGCCCTGTTTCGCGTACAGAAACACGTAAAAGCGGGCGCGAAAAAAGTGATCATCTCGGCCCCGAGCAAGGACGCGCCGATGTTCGTCGGAGGCGTGAACTTCGACACCTACGACAAGTCCATGCAAGTGGTGTCGAACTCTTCGTGCACGACAAACTGCGCCGCGCCCGTGATCAAAGTCATTCACGAAGCTTTCGTCGTCCAAAGCTGTATGATGACCACAACGCACGCCATGACTGCGTCTCAACCAGTCCACGACGGGATGATGAACGTGAGTATCTACGCGGCACAGTGCACGCACAGGTGGGATGGGGTAGGTATCTCGGGACTGAATTAATCCTTGTACGGTATTCATATTTTATTCGAGTAAAATCGTAATATTTTTTATGAAAAATAATAATAAAATGTGCCTTTACGTCTCTCGAGTCGCACTGTTCTATACCTCTCAGCCGCACACAATATACATACACTGTATAGTATACAGTGTATACATATACACTTATATTCGATTGATCTACATCCTTTTCGCTGAAAAAGGATGCTAGTAGCGACAAATCGTTAGTCTCGACCCGTTGTTCACTGTGAACTCGAGCTTCAAGTCGAACTTTCTATTCGTTAACATTTCATTTTTCTCTCATCCAATGCTTGAGAATAACATTATTCTAAGTACACGGTTCTACTTACCGTAACTCGTAATTATTCCCCTAGTTTGAAGGAACCTATTGTACTAAAATACACGCTTATTCGAATGATTGCAGCACAGTTTTAAATCACTAGGTAAAATCGAATCACATTTATAATGTACAACTTTTTTTTCAAAACCAATATTGTGTCCGTCGTCATCAATCTCAACAAATATATACCCGTTATTGTACATTCGTTTGCAGCGATCGGGACCCTATAACATCGTACCCGGCACCACTGGGGCAGCTAAAGCGGTAGTAAAGGTGTTACCGCACCTTGATGGCAAGATCAAAGCAGACGCGGCCAGAGTTCCAGTTCTAGACGTGTCTTTATTAAAACTCTACATTAAGTAAGTTAACAATTAATACAAATACAATATATTATGTAGGTCATTGTAAGACTACCATGTCCACGGGTTATATTATAGTACTTATAATTAGTGAGACTCATGCGCCGAAAAACGTATGATTCGGAATTATAATACCGTGTAAATACCACGTTTACATATAAGCATGTATTTTCCACACCACGAGTAAAAAAGTAAATTTTTTAATTCACTACAATGGAATCAAATGGAGTGGTTGACCGATACGTTACGAACCGATTACATTGGTTTCTGTTCGGCAAAACATCTCGAACGCACAGGTGAAAACACGGGGAGTGCCGGGTGTGCCCGAGCAACCTCAAAAAGTTATAAACGAGATTCTATAATTTAATTTAAGTTTATTTAATTTAATGTAATTTAAGAATAAGAAGTTCGTATTTGAACTAATATTTATCAAATTAAATGTAATTTATACTTAAGTATTTGGTAAAAAATAAATGATTTTTTTTTAATACAAAAAATAAAACAAAACGTTCTCAAATTTCGTGCAAAAACTTATTACGATAATACAATATCTATAATTGATTACAAAAGTACAAATCATAAATAATCGAAGCTATCTGAGAAAAATATACGAGACTTGTAAAAACATATTCATAAAGACTAATATACCACAATATTGAATGAAAAATTTAAGTTATATTTATTCAACTGTTTATGTATTCTTCTTCTTTTTGGTATTCAACTCTTAAGGTTGGTTTTGCAATTGGATATTCGCTCTCCACTCTTCTCTGTTCTCAGCTGGCCTTTAGCTAATGTTTTTGTGTTATAATTTATTAAATACACCAACACGTTTTGTTAAGATACATATATTATCTGTATCGCATGTATACATATCTGCCCGTTGGCAAGTCGACACTGCGACATAGCCGTATGAATTTACATCACATATATTACACGATTTCTGTAGTGGTATGATAAATAATGTGTAAATGGTGTAATTTATGTTTTCCCCGTGCAGCATTGGTAAAGAAGCGACTGCTGACACGATTAAGAATGAGATAAAATGCCGAGCCGATTCCGACCTGAAAGACGTGCTGTCCTACACCGATCAAAAAAACGTAAGCTCGGACTTTATCGGCAACACGTTCTCGGCCATTGTGGATCTAAATCAAATCGAAGTGATCGGCAATATGATCACGATTGGCGCGTGGTATGACAACGAGATGGGCTATTCGTGTAGACTATTGGATTTAGTGAAACACATGGCGGTGGTCGATGGTGGATGTAGATGAACGATAAGTTACAAACTATAGTAATATACAATGTGTAATAGCTAACTGAAAACACTTAATATCTTTGCGTAGAGTCTTGAAATTTAAATAATAATTTTTCGTTTATGACATAAAAATGTGTAGTTTTATGAGTTTTTAATTCTTTTAACTTAAATTGATACACGCATGTGCAGTACAACTTTTTTCCTTAAATGGCAACCACCTATTTTTAACCACTAATTATTATTTGTCTATTTTTTCAATGAATTTTGATAGTTAAACCAACTTTCTAAGTACAAAATTAACCAAATTACAGCAATTTAATTGCAAAATGCGCACGATTTTCAATTTTTTTGACTGTAACTCTGAAAATAATTTTTTTTTTTTTTTTTTAAAGTTCATTAAGGCATCAACAACACATGTTTTTAGCCTACAATTAAAATGTATACAAGAAAAAGAAAGAAAGAAAAATATATATATGTATACATTAAGTTTTACAATAAATTTTACTACATTATTATAGTTACTATTTACAATGGGTGTTTAGTGTTTATATTATAGAAAAATGTACTGATTGCAGCTGTGTTTTCATCTTTGAAGGCTTGATAGAGTGATGCTGGATTTTGGAGTATCTTGCGTGCTTCAGTGTATTTGGGGCAGATGATTACGATATGTTCAATTGATAGAGTTACGTTGCAAGTATCACATATGGGTGCTGGTTCTTTTTTGATGAGATGTACATGTGTTAAGTAAGAAATAATTATTTTAGGACTGTTAAACCTGATTATTTACGTTTTTTCTAATATAAGTTATAATACGTACCTAAATTTAAGTGAAAATTATACAATAGATAAAATTATAATAACGTATAAATATCACTTTAATAAATAGGAGGGAAAATATCAAGCCTTAACAGTCCTAGAATAATTATTTTCAGAGTCACAGTCAAAAAAATTAAAAATCGCGCGCATTTTGCCAAAACTGTATTTTTGTGGGAGGTCACTGGGTTCACATAAATATTATTTGGTATTTATATGAATCTTACGTTTGCTGAAAAGGCATTAAATGTTTTCGTAATAAATAATGAAAACTGATTTTGAAACTCATGAAAATAATCGAATAATAAATTAATCAAAATCAAAACAAAAACATCACTTAAATACGTATTATGGCTACTAAGAATAAAGTCTTACTGTTTTATTTTTTTTCATCGACTTCAGCTAACTCTTTAGAAGTTATTTAGATTTATAACTATCCAAAGTATTGAATTTTAAAAATAATATATAAATTATTATAAAAATAGTATAAAATCCTTATAGTCACCATTAAAGTAATTTTTATTTTTGTCAGCCAATCACCACATACAAAGAGATAATTATTGTTGTCTTAAAATATAACTTTACATAATAAGTGTTTTTAGATTTTATTTGTAACGTATCTTCCTTCATAAATTAACTTATATTTCTGTAAAAATAAAAGAAGGATATTCACATATGTTCTTATAATCAATATTTGAATCAATTAGTGTATGTAGTACACCTATAATTAGTATACAAAAGTGCCATAAAAAGATCTAATGATATTCAATCGATTATTTCATTGTAATTGTAATTTTTAATCTTTAAATACCAACTTATGATAAAATATTATACTAAAAAAATAAATAAAAAATTTAAAGAAAACGTATCCCCGATGACTTCACGGTTACAACACAATCACATGAATATATTGCGTTCATTTAATAATGTATGATAAAATGCAATATGGGCAATTCGACAACCGAAACATAAACGTAATATTATATTGATGCAACATTACGTATTTAACTATTCTGATGTATTTCACTATAGGGACCGACATCTCGTCACGCACACTATAAATGGATATGGTATTTTCCATAATTTCATAGTTTTTGTTGGTATAATGTATGATTAAAATATCATTAAACCAATCATCGAAAGACCATAGGTATTAATTAAAAATACTCATGGTTTCATATATTACTGTATGTAACCATAAGGTTAAGTATACACCTGGCGATTTTAGATCTTTAAGCATACAACTTCCAACACAGACGTACTTAATATTATGTGTTACCGGCAATGATGTGATTTTAGTGAGAATTAAAATGACTAGGACTATAGTTCTAATAATAATTCATATATTGGTAAATAAAATGGCATAGACTCCTACATATTAACAAAGAATATAACCATTGTCGTATACACTGTAAAAAAACTTACTATTTTGACTTAAAGGTAATGACCTAAAAGTCTACGACTGGTGAACAATGTCCATAATATTACATTGAACGTTAAAATAAGTAATGAAGGACGCGGACAATTAAATTGTTGACATCGTTATTGTATATTAAGTAAATTTAAAATATGATAATTGAGTATAATTATTAATCATCGTAATTATAGGAATTAAGACAGTAATATTTATATTATTAACTTTTTTTTTTTTCGCAAGCACGTCAATTACTTTATCAATACACCTAATTTTGGAGTTCTGAAATTCCATTGCTAGTCCTGTCTCACGAACATTTCTTTTTTCATAATATAATGACTAAATTAATCGACTATAATTTTATTGATATAATGACAATTCTTAACATCTTTTCTGATAATAGTTACGCATCTAGTATATAAAATGTTCTATTGGGTGCATCGTTAGTGGAATTATTCGATAATGGAGTATTATTAGGATCGGTGATGGAAACGTAGGAAACTTTGGGAGGGAGAAGTGATGGTTTTAGAATATTAGACGTGAGTATAGTGTTTGAATTTCGTTGAATTAGGTAAATGACTAAATTTGCGATGTTTAAAAATAAAACTTATAATGGTGAAATGTATAGAATTATTCATTTTTCTATAACCAGAAACATAAAACCACTAGCAATGTAATAAATTATACTACAACAAATTACCAATATTGAAGTTTTTCAATATTTATCTTAAATATCTATTACTAAATAGTTTTTAAATTTAATATTTAAAATGTTTAACATAATATAATACATCATTCATTTCAAGTGATTTGCTATTTCTCATACAATTTGAAACTTCAACTTAACATCAGCAATGTTTCCATACAATTTTTAAAAATGTACGAGTGATTGACCACGAACACTTTATATATTTTTTATTTTTATAATATCTAATCCTGAAATGAAAATAAATTTAATTTTGGGAGAAATTATAATCAATCTTATGTATTTTTCTTCCATAAAAAGTTATAATAGTAGTCTACACAAATACTTCTATAAAAAAACTTACGAAATTTAACTGCGCAAAAGCGCTTAGCAGCATTTCATCTAAAAAAACATGATAAATTTGTCAAAATATAATAATAATACATTATAATAAGTCTATAATATTTAATAATATTTTAATATTCGTAATAAGTAATAACATAATATGTAATATGTAATAATAATACTATTAAAGTAAGCGATGGATGGATGAAATAAGGAAGGACTTAGAAACACTTGAAGTGACGAATTGGAAAAATAGAGTCTATGATCGTGATTATTGGAGAACGGTGACGGTGGCGGCCAAAATTCTTAAAGAATTCTAAATACAATTAAACTATACATTTAAATGTAAATATTTAAACATCAACTCCAATAAAAAGTTGTTCAGTAATACGAATTAACTACTTTTTCATAAGATTATAGTTTATTCAATCTGCGACATTGAATTATATCATTTACATTCTCTTCTGAACGATATTATACGTATAGGCATTCAATACAATTTTTTGTGAAATAATTCTAATATTTCGGATTTTTATTTTAGACCTTTTCTTATTTTTTGCTATTTTATAACTATTTTGCTATTGATTGCTTTTTTTTATTTATCAGAAATCACTTAAGTAGTGTGTTCATTGCAATAACGTATTACTATTAGTAACTGACACAGTGCTGTATATGATAAAATTAGCTACTCGTAAAATGCCTACAGCCCTGTACTTAAAAATGATTTATATAACTTGTGTTGTTCGTGGCCTTCACAGAGTAACAGAAGTACAAAAATCAATTTAAATCACTCGAAACGATCATAACTAACATTAAAAATACGTTTAGAATAACCCCTAGTCGGATTAAACTTCTTAACCACGAAGCCTCTTAAATAAGTGCAGACTGTCACTAACATGTCTGTAATTACCAGTTGCGATAACTGGATTAATTCTTACTGCGATAATTGTAACACAATTTGTTCAATTTTTTTAATTATTTGACAATGATGATGCAGTGATCAAAGAAACGAAAAAATATAACAATAAAAACGGAGTAGACACAGATCTTATTTTCATTAAAATTAAACTTTTCGTTTCTTTAAAAAACTAAAAACCACAGTTATTATTATTTGACTATATCAATACAATTTTTAATTTAAAAAAATAATTTGAAACTCTACGAGGTTTAATTGGATTAAAAATACAGTCGAAACTAAAACAAGTTTGAAAAAAAAATTCTAGTACATCACTTATGAAAAAAATGTCTTGCATGTAATTCAGTACTAAAGACATCGTAGAATGAATGGATTTCTAGATAACATATCTAGTAGTAATGTTTGTTAGTTCATGTACACCATTATCACATCGGTCGATGTAGAACTTCCATTCTTCACGTATAATACATTATTAAGCAATAATAAAATAAAATTATAATACTAGTAAATTAATATATAAATAAATCAATGCGTAGTCTGATTCTGAATATGTGTATTATATGACTGATTTTGAACTAAGTATTCATCATCAATAGAGACAAGTTTGTATGCATTTGCATGTTTATTCTGATTGATCATATGATATGCAAAGTGAGCACAACATTTGTTTCATAACATAACAGTTTAAATTTTTTTTAAATTTTAGTGCATTTACTCATACATATTTAGAACTTTTTTAGTGCATATTTGGATGGTTTTTAACGCATTTAAATCCGCGCTCTAATCATCAGATAGTTAGCAAAATAAAAATAAAATTGCAACTGAATGTGAAAAAATAAATGG